TCAACATACTTAGGTTCCAAAGATCAGGTCGTTGTGTGAAAATTGGCATTATGCAAAAATGGAGGATGACCACATCAGATCACAAAATGGAGGATGACTACATCATTACATAGCCGCCAAATTAACTGCCAAACCACTGAGAATCATCACCCAGTCAAGCTGACACATAACCTTGACCATCACAGCTAGCATTACTCTTGCCTTGCACCTTGGCATTCGTTATTGCCAGATGTACTTTGTCAATGTGCAAAATAATCGATGGTAGGTTTTTTTACTATTGTCCTAAATGCAAAATGTTGGATAATGAGATAGTAGATAAGTGAGGAGTAGGTGTATAATTCTTTTTATGTATTTGTTAAAGCCTGGTCCACACCTACATTGGAATCACTGAAAGAGGCCAATTAAAAATGCAGATTTCTGGGACTAATCTAGATCTACTGAATCAAATTTTCTTTCAGTAGATGCCAGGAATATAATATAATGTAATATTATGCAATATAGTATATTTTAATATATCATAATATAGTCCTACACACACACACACACACACACACACACACACACACACACACTTGCTCCCTTGTGATTCTTATGAAATGCTAAACTTTACTACCATTAATTACATCAAATTTATTATTCAGCCCTAAGGCTAAATATTCATCATTGTTTCCCTTTCTAGCTATACAGGAAAAACAGAGTGGACAGGTGAGACAGTTGATAATTAACTTTGCAAGAAATATTGAGCCAATGAAAGACAACAAGCTTGTCGTCATGTGGTGGTGTTTAAATTATCCACAGAAAGATCTCAATTCTGAGCCATCACCTTTCTTGTGAATGAAAATGAGTTAAAGATCAGAGGTTAACAGACTGCACCATTTACATAAAATCACAATGGCAAAACAGGAATTAGAATTCATAGGCTGACAGAAATTCTGGGACTGACCCATGGTACAATGATAATTTACTTTATTAGGCTCTGATTCGAACAGAGTTAAAGGGTAAGCCATTAAGTTGTTCATTAGCTTTTGTGGGCAACACCTTAACTAACCTCTAAAAATGTTACTAAAACAATAAGCATGGTTAAGGAGGCAAGGAAAGACTGCTAATTACACTTGAATTAACACTGGAAATGCTTCTTTTTCATTAATTCTAAAATTCTCTACTAACAATAAAAAAATCCTCAAGATAAGCCTTCCAGGACACACTGATATGTGAAAACTAAAAAAAAAAGCAAGGTTCCAGGGCTTTCAGACATAAAGACGAGAGCCACTTGCATTTTACGTACACTCTCATGTACGTTAAAAGACCGTCAAAGTGAGATTATAAAATTGGAGTATACATGCAATGCAATAGATTTATTCACAAGATAATGCAAGGGTTTATTAAAAAGTTAATAGTGTACTAGGGGTGGTGTGATCTGGTAACAGGACACGGGTAAAACTGAAAGAGCAATGCTTCCTTTTTTCAATGACATCAACGTATCTCTGTTTATATAAACTCCTGTGGAGATGACAGAATGTAAATTTGCGGCTCTTTCTGAGTGTGAGGCTGTATTAGTTTTCTACTGCTACTATAACAAATCATCACACATAGTGGCTTAATACAACACAAATTTATTAACTTACAGTTCTGGAGGTCATAGGTCTGAAATCAGTTTTACAGAGCTAAAATCAAGGTGTTGACGGGGCTTCATTCTTTCTGGAGGCTCTAGGGGAGAACCCATTTCTTGGCTGCCCACATTTCTCAGCTCATAGCTTTGAACCACTTCAATCACTGCTTCTTCTTTACATCTCTGTCTCTGACTCTGACTTTCTTTCCTCCTCTTATAATGACCCTTGTGATTACATTGGGCCTGCCTGGATAATCCAGGGTAATCTCTCCACTTTATATTCTCTAATTTTATTATTTATTTAATCACTTGTGCAAAGTCCATCTTGTCATGTAAGGTGACATATTCACAGGTTTCAGGATTAGGTTTTGGACATTTTTGGTGGGCCATTATTTTTTCTATCACAAAAGCGTAGACCAATAGCTACTCCAAAGACTTCCTTACTCAGACTAGCACTACATCTTAATACCAAACCAAAAATTTTTGCCATCGAGTCAATTCCAACTCATAATAACCCTATTGGACAGAGTAGAACTGCCCCATAGGGTTTTCAAGGAGCAGGTGGTGGATTTGAGCTTCAACCTTTTGGTTAGCAGCCATAGCTCTTAACCACTGTGCCACCAGGGCTCCCATCTTAATACAGTTGGGGCTTATTTTTCTAAGCTCTTCAACTGATATCTTAGAATGGTTATTACCAACAAGTCCCAGTGACTCTCACTTTCTAGGGTATGCACTTTTGAATGCCTGCTGCAGAGATGTTCTCATTATATGGCTGGTATAAGTTGAAGAAAAAAATTCAAGCCTCAAGTTGCAAAATATTGGTCAAAATATTGAATATACCATGGACTGCCAGAAGAACAAATAAATTTGTCTTGGAAGAAGTACAGCCAGAATGGTCCTTAGAAGCAAGGATGGCGAGACTTTGTCTCATGTACCTTGGACATGTTATCAGAAGGGACCAGTCCCTGGAAGAGGATATCATGCTTGGTAAACTAGAGGGTCCACAAAAAAGAAGACACTCGAGATGGACTGACACAGTGGTTGCAACAGTGGGCTCAAACACAGCAACAATTGTGAGGATGGCCCAGGACTGGGGAGTGTTTTGTTCTGTTGTACATAGGGTCACTATGAGTCAGAACTGACTCAATGGCACCTAACAAGAACAACAACATAACTTAGCATAAAGTAACATGGAAATCACGTATTTCAACCAAAAGTATGTATAACATGGAACCAGTTATTTTTATCTATATAAAAAAGACAGAGAAAAATGTTACTTCTCATATAGTATGTATGAATGAACATTTTAGCCTGTCATTTTTTTTCAGCAAAAAGTCATTCCGTTAAATAATGTTAATATACAGTATATGCGATATAAGGATTCAGAGTAAACAGCAAAATCAATGTATTTATTCTAAGAACAAAACTAAATCAATACGATCAAATAAATTAGATTCTGGGTAAAATTTGTCAAGGTTCAGTTATATAAAATGATTATATAGCAGTAAATATAACAAGACCTTTATTACTATGTTCTAAGACTAAGAAAACAAAGATTAAGCTAAATATACTTTAACTTCATCTTTTGATAAATAAGGGATGTTTAAAAATCAAAACTGCTAGAAACAATAATTAGATTTGTTCTTTGTGCCCTCCTAGATACACTCATTCATCCATCCGGTTAGTCCCATCCAGCTAGCCAACAGACAGTAATTGAATACATAGTACGAATAGGCCATACACAGGCATCAGAGAGGCGCTACAAAGTCCAGTATAATATTATGCCTACTTTTCAGCTAAGATTCAGTGACCTGACAAATTTCACCTATGAGCTAAACATTGATTGTAATAAAAGTAACAAAAGGGAAACCAAGAGTGTTTTCAATAACACAAACTAAACAGAAAAAACAAGATTTGACCAGAAAATTTATATTTGAATTTTGTATGCATTTCTCCTAACTGGGAAAGACAGTTAAAAATACTGAAAATTGGAATTTAACCCAGACTATTTTCAATGCTTTAAGATATTCCTTTTTTAATGAATTTTATATTAACATTGATAGATGAGGATAACTATAAATTAGCAAATATTTAATTATATACACTTTAATTGTTAATAATTTATTCAATTAGTAATTCATTCAGTAAGTATGTATAGAGCCTCTGTTATATTCCAGGAACTGGACATACAACCCAAAACAAACAAAAAAGCAAGGTCCTTGCTCTCATGGAGCTTACATTCCAGAGATTCAATAAAGAGGGCTCTGGCATTCCAAATATTTCACTATATTTTCATGGTAAATACTGTCAGCAGCCACAGTACTAAATAAGGGCAAGGTATGCTTCTTGCCTGGAATTCTTCAACTCTGGCTGTACCCCCGTGCAAGGGTCTTAAGACTATTCTGCCATTAGCTGTGAAATTTTATGCAAGTTATTTAAACATTCTGTTTCCTCCCCTGTAAAAGGGAAAAGGTAATAGTTAGGTAGTCATGGAGATTAAATGAGATAATGTCAGTCTATTGTTCAGACCGAAAAAACAAACCTGTTGCCCTGGGGTCGTTTCAGGACAAAACTGCCAACCTTTCCGTTATCAGCCAAACTCTTAACAACTGCGCCACCAGGGCTCCTTATTGTTCAGCCTAGTTTCCAGAAACTTTTAGTACTGTATTACCGCTTTGGCTCAGTGGTTCTGAAATATGTCTGCTCATTACAATCACCTGGGGATCTTTTAAAAAAAATGCCAAAGCCCAGGCCACACACCAGACCAATTAAATGCCAGGCGCTGACGGTGGAACACAGATGTCAGCACTCTTGAGTTCTTCAGGTGATTCAAATGCGCTGACAAGTTTGGGAACCACCTCAGTTTGGTTTATTTATGTTTTACAGTAACACTTGCCCATCCACCGCTTACCTTAGGTGGCAACCAGGAAACCTGGGCAGTTTAATCAAAGTCACATAATCGAGGCGCATCCCCCACTCCGCCTAATCCTGGGATTTGCATGCAAATCTCTTCTAAATATTTCAGTGTGTAGGGAGGGGCAGGGGAGGATGGGAGGGAATCCTGATCTCTGCAGCGTATGCACAGTTGTTAAGTTTATGGGACACTTAGGTATGTAGGGAGTGCTGACACTTCACCTGCGGCGACTGCTGGGTCTGCCCGGGGAGAAAGGAAGAGCGGGGAAAGTACCCCTCCTGGGGGCGCTGGGCCCGGGTTGCTGAGGCAGCTGCCGCACCGCGAGAAAAGATCTGCAGCCTCAGCTGTGGCCGCGATTGTCCCCTAGGGACGCGCAGCGGCTGAGCGGGCGCGGTTCGTGCGGGGTCTTTTCTGTCCGAAACACAAACTTCGCAACCCGGGGCCGAGGGCAGGAGCGGCCGCGGGGCGTTTTGGTCCAGGGCAAGTGGGACCCGCCGCGCTGCCCGCCGCCATGGAGCCCCGGCCGTCCGGAGGCTCCAAGCCGGCCGAGCCGGGGCCTTGCCTGCGTAGCCCGGGCGGGGCCTGCCAAGGGACCTCGGCCTACTCGCTGAGCTCGGCCGGGGCCGAGCCGGGGTGCAGCGTGGCGGCCGTGTTGCCGGCAGGGGGTTGCGGGGAGAGGATGGGCGTCCCCACCCCGAAGCAGTTCTGCCCTATCCTGGAGAGGCCGCTCATCAGCTACACCCTGCAGGCCCTGGAGAGGTAACGCGGCGCCAACACTCCCCCACGGTCCCCGGGGCCAGGTCTCCCGCGCAGGGCAGCTCTGCGGCACCTGCGCGGCCTCCTCTCTCGCGCAAGCGCCGTAATCCAGGCGGATTGCTGGGCCAGACTCCACCGGCTCAGTTACTTTTACTCCAGCTTGAGCTCCGTTCCCAGCGGCATTTCAGAGAGAGGTATCTCTGGCTCTTCTAACAGATGGCGACAGAAACCCATCTTTAAATGCCCAAGCTCACAATGTTGTAGGGAAAGCCCCCATGTGGAGCTGGCTTTATGAGTACGTGGGTTGGGCCTAAGGAAAATTTAGTTCTGTGGCCCCTGTGAGGCTTAATGAGGATCAGCTGTTCTAGGAGTCGCTGAGTCAGACTGTCTGCCTGTCTGTATGTCTCTCCCTCCCTCCTCATGAGTGGATTATGAGTCCTAGCCCAAGAAAATCTAGTTTCAGAGACTTTTACTGGCTCATTCATTTCATTCCTTCGTAGTCATACTTATTGAGCACCTCGTTTGAGACAGACTGAGCTAAATTACTAGGTAATGGAGGTGGAGCGATGAGCAGAATTTAATTGAAATCTTCCAGAGGTGAAAAACAGACATAGCATGTTAAAGTCTGAAATTGAGGTCTGTACACGCTGTCTATCTTGAAAGAAAAGGAACTGATTAACTAGTTGGAGAAGTGAAGGGAGGGTGGGGTAAGGGGACTAGGGGAGCAGTACGGAGGGGCTAAGGAGGTGAAAAGGAGGAAATGTGTTATTTTATTAATTTTATTTTGCTTTTAGGACCGAATAATGTGATAGGAGGTCCCTGGGTGGCGCAAAGGGTTTGCACTGGACTACTAACCTAAAGGCTGGGGCTTTGAACCCCCTCAGCGTCGCTGTGGAAGAAAAGTCTGGGGATCTACTTTAGTAAAGATGATAGCCAAGAAAACTGTATGGGGAAGTTCTGCTCTGTAACATCAGGTCTGCATGAGTCAGAATCCACTGGAGGGCAATGGTTTTGGGTTTTTCTGGTTAATGCCATGGAGTGAGGCTGGGGGCATAGGCAAAAGAAGGATTTCCAAGGTCTGTGTTGCTAATGTGTTTAAACTTTACCTTGAATCTGTGGTAGGATTTTAAGACTTGGATTAAAATCTTAACAATGTTCATTTCAAGATAGATGGCATCCTTTAGCATAGCCTTTGCAGAAGGCTTTAATGAAGATAACTTAGTGAGGTTCTAGTCTAAGGAGGGTACCATGTTATCTATAAAGGAACCCCTCTCCTTACGCATACCCTAGAAGTCAGAAAGGCCAAGTTGCTTCTTGTCTTAGTCATCTAGTGCTGCTCTAACAGAAATACCACAAGTGGATGGCTTTAACAAAGAGTTTATTCTTTTACGGTCCAGTAGGCTACAAGTCCAAATTCAGGGCATCAGCTTCAGGAGAAGGCTTTTTCTCTCTGTCGGCTGTGGAGCTCTTGTAATGCATCAGTCTTTCCTTGGTCTGGGAGCTTCTCTGCGCAGGAACCTCAGGTCCAAAGGACGCGCTCTGCTCCTGGCGCTGCTTCTTGGTGGTATGAGGTTCCCATGTGTCTCTGCTCGCTTCTCTCTTTTATATCTCAAAAGAGATTGGATTAAGACACTATCTGATCTTGTCAACCTCATCAGCATAAGCTCATCACAGTGATAGAATTGACAACACATAAGGAGATCACATATAATCTCATCATAGTGATAAGAGTTTACAGCACGTAAGGAAACCACATCAGATTACATAATCATACAATACTGGGAATCATGATCTAGCCAAGTTGCTACACACATTTTTTGGGGGACGCAATTCAATCCATGACACTTCTCATATGGTTATCTTATTTTCTGAATATTAGCATTTGGAAAGTAGAAGTGTAAAGAGCCATAATCACCCTTGATTCTTGTAATCAGGCCAGTGGTTACATCTGAAACTCATACAAATATTGAAACAGTTCCAGTTGCTCCTTCTCATTTCTGTTTTCCTCCATTTCTCTGGGTAGCGGGAGGGTTCTGGAAACCATCGTGTGAATCTGGCACCTACAACATTCCAGTGTGGTAGACATTGTGACAATGCATCTCAGGTGTGCAGGGACACAGTGGGTCTTGGCCAGCAGGATCTTCTTTTACTTAGTATTATTACACGTAGGGAATTGTGTCATTTTTACATTTAACTTCCCTTCTCCATGAAAATCTTTTGTATTGATTTGCATTTTTGCATCTCCTTAACTTCTGAGGCTGCCTGAGATAGGTGGTCACGCACACAAAACGAAACAAACAAAAAAACTACAAACATTTTAGAAGTAAAATATTCTGGAAAGGCCTTGTTATGGAAAATAAGGCAAAAGAACACTTCTTTCCATTTTTGCTTCATAACATCAGTCATATAATCCAAACTAATAACAATGGTAATTAATCGAAACTCCATTCTGAAATACTTCATGGTTTGTTTTTGTCACTATTAAAATACCTGAAGAACTTTAGGGAATATGACTGTACGTTGGGTATGTCCCAAGAAATCTCTGGAAACTGTGTTACAAGTGTGTGTGCGGATGCTTTTTGGCCATTTATGAATTGAAATCCCTTTTCTTTCTCTTTTGGTAGAAGATGGACTCCATAGATTGCTGATAATTTTCCTACAGCATGGTGCCAAAGGCCTAAGTAATTTCATTCCACAAGATAAATTATGCAAGTTAGTGGAAACATAAAATGCTTTGGAAAAGTCTTATTTTTTACTCTCTCTGGAGAAATTATGCATGCTTTTAAATTATGCATCTATTAAAGAAAAGAGGAAGCACAGGTCTCAAGGGTCTAAGAAAGAAAATAAAAGATGTAATTGGATGTCACTACTGTCAATCCTCTACATTATACTAAGAGGGTGTCAAGTCTTCTTGCCTTTAGGATCTGTGTAATGTCCAGAATTTGACTTCAGACAAAGTTTATTTTATTTGCTCGTCATAAGATAGGGCATTTTCCTTCCTTAAGCTTTTACCATCACACTCACAGAGGTTTGAGAACTCACTGAGGGTAAATTTTGATTCCTAGTTACGATTAACTTGACTAGGAAATTAAAGATACTTGTTGAAAAATAATGCTTCTGTGTTGATTTTTTTTTTCTTTAGAGTACTATATGTTTTTTACTTTATTAAACAATTCTATGCTGTCATAAAGTGAGATTCTTATTAAGGATAATCTTACTGTTCTATTTTATAATGGACAAGGGAGTATCTAATCACCATTAGACGATTACAAAGAACAGTCTGAAAGAAAGTCTCTGTCTTTGCCTCTTTCCTTTCCATTAATCTTTTTTTTTTTAATATTTTATTGTGTTTTTGGTGAAAGTTTACACAACAGATTAGGTTTCCATTCAATTTCTAGACAAACTGTTCGGTGACATTGGTTACATTCTTTATAATGAATGAACATTCTCATTATTTCTGTTTTGGTTGTTCCATTTCCAGTAATCAAGTTTCCCTGTCCCCCTCCCTTCTCATCTTTGTTTTAAAGTAATTTTGACTGTTTGATCTCATGTAGATCATTTTTTTAAAGAGAGATTGTACTCACTGGTGATATTCTTTATTTTGTGAGCCAATCTACTATTTAGTTAAAAGGTGACCTTGGGATAGTTTTTGTTCAGGGTTTAAAGAGCATCTCAGGGAAATAGTTTCGGGGAGTCTAATCTCAACTGTCTAGTCAGTCTGGATTTTTTAAAAAGATTTTGAGGTTCTGTTTCACATTTTTCTCCCATTTTATTAGAATCCATCTATTGTGGCCCTGATGAGAAGATTGGTAGTGGCAGCTGGGCACCATCTAGTTCTTCTGGTCTCAGCATAGAGAAGGCCGTGGTTTGTGTAGATGGTTATTACTGTGGTCTAGTTTCTTCTTTGAGTCTTGGGTTTCCTTCTTTCTGTTTTGCTCCAGACAAGTAGAGACCAATAGTTGAATTTTAGATGGCCGCTCTCAAGCTTTTAAGACCCTGGACACTACTCACCAGACAGAGTTGTGGAACATAAACTTTATGAACTACATTATGCCAATTGACTGAGTTGTCCCATGAGACTATGGTCCTAAGTCTTCCAACCCAGAATACCAATCTCACGAGGTCTTTGGATATGTCTATGAAGTATCCGTAACTGTGCCCTCTATGTGATTTATTATATATATGAATATATATGCACACACACATATACATGCATATACATATATACACACATACATACTCACATATACATATCTGCACAAATATGCTTACATACATACATATATACCTGCACAAATATTTTTTGGTTGTTGTTACAAAATTATATATGCCATAGTAATTACCAAAAGGTCCTTTTTTTGTGTGTTCATCTTAGCTGACATCATTTCCTTGGTTGAGCTGTGCACACTTCATCCACACTCAGTGTTAGGTTTCTGTGTTGGTTTTTGTCTTTTGGAATTTTGAATGTTTCATTCCAATTCCTTGTAAAAAGAGCTAATTAATCAGGGCCTAGGAAAGAAAAGAGGCTCACCCCTGAATTTTGGCCCCCAATACCTAAGTTGGCATGTTGTTGTTGTTAGGTGCCGTTGAGTTGGTTCCAACTCATAGGGACCCTATAGGACCGAGTAGAACAGTCCCATAGGGTTTCCAAGCAGCAGCTGGTGGATTTGAACTGCCGACCTTTTGGTTAGCAGCCAAGCTCTTAACCAGTACACCACCAGGGCTCCAGGTTGGCATAGGGAAATGTAAAGAAACATAATTAGTTTCTTCTCTAGTTAAACCTTGCCATTTAAACGTGTTTATTTCCCTCCCTCATTTACCCACCCCAAGTGACAGTCGTTACTGTCTGCCACCAAGTCGATTCTGACTCATAGTGACCCTACAGTAGAGTAGAACTGCCCATAGGGTTTCCTAGGCTATAATCTTTACAGGAGCAGATTGCCAGGTCTTTTCTCCTGAAGAGTGGCTGGTGGGTTGGAATCCTAGAACTTTTGGTTAGTGGC